ATGATCCTCTATATTTCTGTGGTTTCAGTTGGAATGTCTCCTCTTTCACATATAATTTTATTTATTTGAATATTTTTTCTTGGTTAAGCTAACTAAAGATTTGTAATTTTGTATATCATTAAGAAAATTAACTCTTTATTTCATTAATATTTCTACTCTTTTTTTCTAGTCTCTATTTCATTTATTTTTCTGTAACCTTTACTTCCTTTTTTCTGCTATTTTTGGGTTTAGTTTGTACTTTTTAATATAGTCCCTTGACATGTAAATTTAGGTTGTTTATTTGAGATATTTCCTCTTCATGAGCTTATTACTATAAATTTCCATCTTGGAAATAAACGCTTTTGCTGTATCACATGAGTATTGGTAGGTCATGTTTCTATTTTCATTTGTCTCAAGGTATATTTTTAATTTTCCTTTTGATTTCTTATTTGAACCACTGGTTACTCAGGAATGTGTGGTTTCACTGTCACATATTTTTAAACTTTCCAATTTTCCTTTTTTTCATATCACTGTGATCAGAAAAGATACTTGATATAATTTTAACCTTATTAAAATTTGTACGACTTATTTTGTATCCCAACATATGATCAATCATGGAAAACGTTCCAAGTACACTTGAGAAGAACATGTATTCTGCTGCTGTTGGATGGAATGTTTCGTATATCTATTAGGTCCATTTGGTCTACAGTTTTGTTCAATTGTTTTCTTACAGATTTTCTGTTTGGATGATTTATTCATTGTTGAAAATGGGACACTGAAATACCCTGTTATTGTTGTATTATTATTTTCCCCTTAAGTTATGTTAATATTTGCTTAGTACACTTAGATGCTCCAATGTTGGGTGCATATATATTGCTCCTACCCAGAGGTCTGAAGAAACCTTAGAAATCTGATTAGTTCCCTTTCAACATAAAAGAGGTAATGTCATGTGTAGTGAGTGATGCTAGGTGAGGCAGGTTCCCAAAGACCTCTTATTTAGTGTGTTCTTATAGCAGTCACTGCTAAGATGGCAGAGCACAGGCTGGAGCAATTGCAGCAGTGACAGGGCCACCTTCATGTTATCTGGCTAAAATAGCCCCTCCAACACTCAATACTGCTTCATGATGTTATGGTATTGGCTCCTCAAATATCTAAGTGCTTCCTGCCTCAAAGGTTGACCAGTAAAAAAAAAAAAAAAAGGCAGCTTAAAGGTGACAACCAAGCCCCACATCTAAATTATACCACAGTGCTAGGCAGAGAGAAGGAATCTGAGCTGCTTGGCGATAGTCTCCCACATGCCTCAGTTCTGCCTCTACAGAAGTACAGGCTGTGCCAGAAATTAGTCCACCCTGTGTCCCCATCCCCAGCCTTAAAGTTCGGTTAAGAAACAATTGCCTGGCTGGGAGCAGTGGCTCAGCCTATAATTTCAGTACTTTGGGAGGCTGAGGTGAGAGGACTGCCTGAGCCCAGGGGTTCAAGACCAGCCTGGGCAAATTGGTGAGACCTCGTCTCTACAATAAATCACAAAAACTAGCCAGGCATGGTGGCGTACATCTGTAGTTCCAGCTACTTGGAAGGCTGAGGCGGAAGGACCGCCTAAGCCCAGCAGGTCAAGGCTGCAGTGGCTGTGAGCGTGCCACTGCACTCCAGCCTGGTTGACAAAAGTAAGACTCCAACTCAAAAAAAGAAGAAAGAAAGAAACAACTGCCTGCCACGGGCCTGTTGCTCTACCTGACTTTCTGCCTCCCATCCCTGATTACTGGGAGCCAGATCCCAGGTCACAAAGGTCCAAATAGGTACCCTGTTAACATTCACATGGTAACAGTTCCTGATGGACACAAGTGTTATTCCCTCCACTCCTTGCAATGAGCCTGCAAATGAGTTTGAGTGCTCCACCATCCTTTACCCAGACCTCCCAAATTTCAAAATTAAACAAAATTAGGAATTAGGTCAAGATTTATCTATATCCAAGTGACCAAGGGTCTTATGCCAAATGTCAAAGTCTAATGGGGAAGGTGGGGAAAAAATGTATTTCTTGACCCTTTTGAATATGAGTTCACAGGTGACTGTGATCCCACAATCCCTAGCATCAGAATCAGAAAGAAGTAAATGATGTTATCCACTTTGGGGTCTGAGGCTACACCCAACAAACCCTTGCCCAGGCCCAGCTATGGGTCTCTTCTGTTCCTACAAACATTCACTGTTATGGCTCCATTACAAACATGCTTTTAGTATAGATAAATTATGTATGTGCCCTCTCGCTTTACATATTCTAGAATATCCCTTATCACGTTTTCCAAATACTGTCTCTTAATCTATGGATTATGGATTATCTTTTCATTCTCTTAATAGCATCTTCTAAAGAGCAGAAATGTTTAATACTGATAAAATCCAACTTATCTTTTTTCCCCTTTCATGTTCACTTTTTTGTATCACATGCATTTCCGAGGTTCTTTCAGAAAAATGACAATTTTAGCTCTTACATATGAAATTATAATCCATTTTGAGTATTTTTTAATGAAATGACGGGACATAACGACTCGTGGTTCATTGTTTGCATACGGATATTCGATTGTTCCAGTTCCATATGTACATTTTTCTCATTTGTTGAAAATTGAATTGGTCATACATCTGTAAATGTATGTCTGGAGTCTGTATTCTGTTCTCTATCCTTAGGTCAATTACATGTTTTGCAATTATATTGCTTCATAGTACGTCTTAAGATCAAGTAGTTTAAGTCCTCCAACTTTGTACTTATTCAAAAATTATTTGGCTAGTACAGGTCCTATGCCTTTCTATATAAATTTTAGAACTAGCACGTTAATTTCTTCAGAAAAGTCTACCAGGATGTTCACTGTCATTTCTTTGAGTTCATAAATAAATCTGCAAAAAATGTGACATAACAATACTAAGTCTTGTGATCCTTGAACACTGCAGATCTCTATTTACTTAGGTCTTTTTTGGTATGTATTTTTCTATTGTTTTGTTTTCAGTGTCTTTATCTTTACAGAGTGTCTCCTGTGATAGCACACATTCTGCTCTTTCATTTTTATTCAACCTGATACTCTGCCTTTTGATCAAAGTGTTAAGCTTGCTTGCATTTAAAGCACACAAATATATTAATACAATTGCACTTAGTTCTGTCATTTTTTTTGCTTTGCATTATGTTCTTTGTGTTTTTATTTCTCTGTTCTTCCTTTGATACCCTCTCCTGTGCTTACTATTTGTATTTTCAGAATCCCACTTTAATCCTTCTATTGGCTTTCCAGCTATAGTTCTTTGTATTATGCTTCCAGTTATTGTTGTAGGAATCACAATATGTAAATTAAACTCATCCAAATCAATTTCAGTTTGATGTTTAACACTTAAGGTAAAATCCAAGAACCCAACAACAGTAAAGTTCAATTCATTCTTTTATATGCTACTGTTGTCATACACATAAACATACACATACACAAAACACAATACAAAGGCATCAATCCATTAATGCAGCACTAAAAATGTTTGCTTTAAAATCATATGTCTTTGAAAATAATTAAGTAAAAAAAAATCCCTGCATCAGAAAAAAAATTTCATTTTCTAGCAATAGTTTGTCTATTTGCATAAAATAGATTTTTATGCTACTATTTAAAATATGTATTTTGACACCAATATTTTACTTGACATAACTATTAATATCAGAAATAATATTGCCTGAATATTTTTCATTAATATACTATTTCGATTTTCACTTTATTAGCTACCTAAAGAAATTTATCATGACAATAATCATAGAGGAAAAAATACTTTTGTACAATCATGTTCACCTGCGTTCTTCCTTTCTTTTTTTTTTTTTATTGTAAAGATGTGGGGTACAATTCAGGGTCAGGTATACAAACACTGATCAACCTGCATTCTTCTAATACTCTCCTAACCTGTCTTCTAGCTGACAAACTTACCCCTTTCAATCAATTATCCATTGTTACTAAAATGACTTCTAAAATTAATCATGTTACTTATCTTTGGAATATTTTAGTAGCTTCCCATTTCCTGTGCAATAAACCTATTCTCTTTAGCATTGTACACAAGGCAGTTCCATTCTTTTCTCTCCAGCATCATCTCATATCCCTCTTGCCAACATTGCTCTCTAGGCACAGAGAATTGTAGTTCTCTGTTACATCACTGGCTTCATGTATGGTGAATACATGGCCTTAACAACTTTCGGATTTCATTTAGTCTTCAAAACTCAGGTCATATCACACTCTGGGAAGCCTATCATAATTTCCTTTCCCCTATGTGAAGTGTCTTTCCTAAATACTCCATGCTTAACACCACCATAATGTGTATAACCTTACACTATATTTGTTTGTTGATTAGTCTGTTTCCCAACAATATATTCCTTATAGGCAGGGTCTGTGTCTTATCTTTACATCTGATATTTGACTACAAATACCAGTCAAGAAGGAATTGTTGAAAAAAATAGCTGAACAGTACATTTCCAAACTGCTTGAGTTTGCAAACTAAGCTACTAATTCTTATTAATTCATACTATATTCCTTAATGTATTCAACATGTATTTATTTAGTACTTGCAATGTACCAAGTATAGATGGACATTACATTTTTTTTTTTTTTTGAGTTGGAGTCTCACTCGGTCTCCCAGACTGGAGTGCAGTGGCCGCTCCCGGCCACCGCAGCCTCACCTGCTGGGCTCCAGTGATCCTTCCGCTTCAGCCTTCCAAGTAGCCGGAATTATAGGCATGCGCTACCATGCCCAACTGATTTTTTGATTTATTGTAGAGATGAGGTCTCGCTGCCCAGGCAGGTCTCGAACCCGCGGGCTCAGACAATCCACTCACCTCAGCCTCCCAAAGGCGCGGGATTACAGGCTGAGCCACTGAGCCTGGCTGGACATTACATTTTAATACTGAAAAGCAGAAGATATATAGCAAGGTTTCGACCTATAGTGAATTTTTGTAATATTATGCAACGTATGCTATTATACCAAGAATATGAAAAAAAAAGCACAGTGTGATTACATACCAGAGACACCATGGCCCAACCAGTCTTATTATAGATGAACTCCAGGTTGTTCCTTCTCAAATAAAGCAAACCACCAACAAGTGACACTAACAGAGCCAAAGCAATGGTGCCAGAGTAGTTGGGTGGTCTAAAAACCCGAATCTGCAAAAAAATGCAACAGAAATTTTAAAAGTGAAGTAAAATAATGTCTTTTTTCTTGACAATATTCTAGTTCTTCCAATCTTCAACACAAGGAATTCAGAAACTTGCCACTCTACTTCTCATACCTGACACTAACACCAATATACATACCTTAAAACATCATGGTTGTGTAAAAAGAACTGCTCCTCATGTTACGTGACTACACTCAAGCATAGGAAAATCTTACTTAGATCACTCAACCCAGAGATGTTCTGTGTCATCCATGATGCATGGGATCATTTAGTACATGGTAGGAATAAGATGAGCATGTAATAATTGTATTGTTTCAAACTGGAGCTTTTTAAAGTGCTACTTTAACAGCTATATTGATATAAAAATCTACATACTATATAATTCACCCAGTTAAGGTATACAATTCACTGGCTTTTAGTATATTCACAGATATGTGAAAATATCACCACAGTCATTACAGAGCATTTTACTCACTTCAGTCATCATTTATCCCTCCCAACCTCCAGCCCTCATCTACTTTCTGTTTTTATTAATGGTTCTATTCCAACCTTTCATATACTGTGTGATCTTTCATGATTGGTTTCTTTCACTTAGCATAATGTTTTCAAGGTTCAACCATGCTGAAGCATGTTATCAGTACCTCATGTCTTTTTATGGTTGAGTAATAACCCTTTGTATGGATGTACCACATTTTGTTTTTGCATTCATCAACTGATGGACATTTGAGTTGCTTCTACCTTATGGTCATTATGAATAATGCTGCTATAAATATTCCTATAAAACTTTTGGAGGATATATGTTTTCATTCCTTTTGTGTATATATTAATATTAAGGCGAAGAATGAAGGGTCACACGGTAACTCTAACAGTTTGAGGAGCTGCCTGACCGTTTCAAAAGTGGTTGCATCATTTAGATTCTCACCAGCAGCTAGGGATGAGAGTTCTATTTTTCTACTTCCTTGCCAACACTTATTCTCTGACTTGTTGATTCTAGACATCCTACCGTGTGAAGTAGTTACTGTGGTTTTGATTTGTATTTCTCTGATGACAATGCTGAGCATCTTTTCATGTGTTTATTGGTTATTCATTTATTTGCAGAAATATCTATTCAAATTCTTTGCCCACTTTTAATTGGGCTGCGTTTTTATTATTAAGTTGTAAGAGCTCCGTGTGTGTGTGTGTGTGTATGTTAGATATAAGTTTCTTATCAGAAAAATGATTTGCAAATACATTCTCTAATTCTGTTGGCTGCTTGTTCATATTTTTGATGGTGTTCTTTAAAGCATTAAAAGGCCATGTTTTCAAAAATATACCTAAGTAGTATAAGCTTATGATTTCCATGGTATAAACAAATCTTGGTTTTAATAATGTTCCCTACTAAAAGAAACCAGGACTTGTCAAAGAGATGGCTAATTGAGTGCTGGGTAGCATAGATAGGTAGATACAAGATGGGCCTGGGAATAAATTATTATCAGAAAATGAAAAGGTGCTTAGAAGGAAATGATCGAGGTATGTCACAAGGATAGAGGAGTCAGCATGAAGAGGCTCCTATTAGTCATACATAGAACAATTTTAGGACTGAAACAATTAAGAGTAAATTATAAACCACTAGAGGAAAAATGTTTCTTGTATTTATTTTATGAGAGGTCAGTTAGGCACAGCCACAAGAGGAGACACAGGAAAAGTTCAGGACAAAAACCAAACTTGATTACACTCAGAGGGCCCTGGGGACAGGAGGCACACCACATAACGCAGGGTCATGTGGTAAAGACACTAGTGTGGTCAGGTGGCAGAAGACAGGAGCAAGAGGAAGATATAAGTCACTACTACCATTGGAGTTTCCACAGGAAAGACACGGCAGGTCAGAATGAACAGTTTAGAATGGACTAGTTTAAATAACTTGGATGGGCTGTGGGATAGGGGACGTCTCTACTTCCCTGATCCCTGGTTCTGGGATGAGATGGCAGAAAAATATTGTCTCACAGAGTGTAAGGGCTAGAGAGAGGAAATATAGCTCTGGATTGGTTAGTTACATATCAAAGACATGCTCCTAACTATATAACCTATAGTTATCTCTAAGAACTGGCTAGCCCCAGGGGGAGCAATCTTTCCCCAGCCAGAAGGTTTCTCTAAGACATTAAAACATCATATACAGAAAATATTTTAAAAATTTACAACGCAAAATGCAACCCATGACAGGTAGATAGAAGATTGGCATATGATAGATGATAGACAGATAGATAGATTAGATTGATAAGAGTACTTGCTTACAGAAGAAAGCTGGGGGCCAACGAGAAATATGCGAGATGAGCTAGAACTTAAATCATTATTTTGCAACCACCATGGTGAAAAACTACATCAGGAAAATTTAACTAATGAATGTTAAATCTAAGAGAAAATGTTGAAGGAACAGGATATCTACTGGAGATCTTAAGGTATCTCCACACAGACAGCTTAATAATCACAAAAAAGGAGAAAAATCAGTAATTAACAGGGTACAAACAGGAAATGACTAGATAGTCAAAATTAGTATCACCTACGAAAGACAGATAAATATTATGTGCCTATAGAGGTGATTTAAGAAAAAAATGACCTAGGTAGTCTTACAGTTAAGAATATGTAAGCCAAATTCAATCATGAGTAATTATCAGACAGATCAAATGAGGATCATTCTATTTGAATAGTGGAAGAAGACTATATTCTTCAAAATGTTAATATCTTTAAAGGATAAAGACAGGAAACAGAAATGTTTCAGATTAAAAGACATGGCAAATAAATTAAATGTCTAAATCTAGACTGAATCTTATAGTGAAGATGAGAAAATGTTACAAGGGATATTAGCAGATCACTTGACAAAATTGTAATACAGATATCTGTAGCTCAAGTGAAAGTATTATATCAATTAAACACACTACATTTGCCAAAACATTAAAAAAACACAAGAATTAAAAAATAAATAAGTTTAGTCATCAAACTATCATTAAAACTTATGATATAATCTTACAATAATAGTCGTAAAATGAGAGATAACCACCTTGACTCCAAATAATGTTTACATATTATATGTTATGATAAAAATTAATATTTCTGTATTACTTCTAGTGTGAATGTACTTTAACTGGTTACAACTGTTTACTATCTAAAATACTGAAAAGATTACAGAAAAAAATGGTGATAAAATCTCAAAATAGGTATTAACTACGATCAACATTTTCATTTCCTTCCATAATAAACTGTTTGTATCAATTTGTATTATACTCATACTTTAAAACAAAATTCTAGATCATACTTTAAATATTATTTTTCTTTTTTTTTTTTGAGTTGGAGTCTCACTCTGTCGCCCAGATTGGAGTGCAGTGGCCACCCCCGGCCACCGCAGCCTCGACCTGCTGGGCTCCGGCAATCCTTCCGCCTCAGCCTTCCGAGTAGCCTGAATTACAGGTGCGCGCTACCACGTCCGGCTAATTTTTTTGATTTATTGTAGAGATGAGGTCTTGCTGCCCAGGCGGGTCTCGAACCCACGGGCTCAGGCAATCCACTCACCTCAGCCTCCCAAAGGCGCAGAATTATAGGCTGAGCCACTGAGCCCGGCTAAAATATTATTTTTCTAACATACTTTTTTACTTGTTATATTTTCAGATTCATTCTATGAGAAATATTCTTGCTAATCATTTTTTGACTATGATATAGTACATGTACTTAGTTTCTTATTTTTAAGTGTTTAATTTCTTCCCAATTTTTTCAACTAAAATAAACATTTTTAAGATTCTAAGATTAAAAATTTAAATCATCCCTGATTATATCTTTTGGTTAAATTTCTAGAAGTAGAACTGATTAGTTACCTAAAATACAGACATGACACATGCTGCTAGAATGGCTATACCAATTTATAGTATCAAAAGCAGTAAACATATTTTTTCATATGGCTTTAAAGTGAGTTTTATCCTTTTTTATTTGCCCCAAAATACACAAAATTACATACCTTGCTTATTAACTAAAATTTGACTACTAACATTGACCCATTTTCAATATGCCAGGGTGCCAAAAAAATGTATACACATTTTAAATAATGTTCATCATAATCAGAAGTGTCTGTATGCTGAAGGTAACCATTTTGAGCACCTTTTGCAATTTCAGAAGTCAGAAATGATTTGTATTCATGTTTTGTTATTGGTATATATTGAGTACTACAATTTTATTAGTTTTTCCTTTCTTAAAATGTATACATATTTTTGGCACCCTCTGTATTTGTAGTCTCTAAAATTGTTTGTCCTTAACTTCTGTCCTTTTTAATGGTTTTCAAAATATCAATGAACCATTATTCTACAAACCATGTGAATTCACCTAACAGTAAAAGTTCAGCTAATTGCTTATACCTATCAAATATAGTTTTCTCTTTGCAAGGAGAAATATCGATCAAGAAATAAAAAACGTATTACTGTGGCCTTATTACAACCCTCTGACAAACCAAGCTAATCAGCCTATTACTAAAACTGTGGGGAATAAAAACATACGTGAATATCCGTTCTGTCAGCAATCCACTTTGCTAGTTGTTCAGCTGCAAATCCAATTCTTTGAAGGTCAAAAGTATCAGCTCTCTTTGGTCTGCCTTTTGGAGGAAAATGCATGAATGTAGGAGCAGAGTTCATGTTGAGCTGCAGAAGACGAGATAAAAAAATACTAAATATAATATCATCTTAACATTATATATCATTAATCTAATATTTAATGCTTTTTCTTCACAAATTTTGGAAAGATAGCATTTATTATGAAAACTCAAATAGCTTTCCAGAGTTCATTTGTTGTTTTTATTCATCTTAATGCATACTGAATAAAAAAGATTTTGTTATAAATTTGATGAAGTTCTTTAAACCTTCACATTTAATATACATCATTCATATTACCAGCTGTATTCTCTATATTTTATCAATCATTTCATTATTTTTCTTTCTAGAAGTATGCAATTGGGTAAAAAAAGAACATAGCTAAATGTGCAAAATAGAAATATTGCTATTTGGCAGTATATGAATTATTTTATTTCTTAAGTAGTTATTAAAGGAAATGCACTAGAATTTGATTTTTTAAAAACAGCATTTCATGGAATCTCAAACAAATTATAAATAGATTTAACCCCTTATTAAAAACATGAAAACATTACTTTTTGCAATGATGATGACTATACAAAAAGAAATCAACATTTTTGTTCTAAAGAACTTGAATTTACTAGACTTTAAGAGAAAGTCCCAATGATAGTCTCTTTTTTTTTCAGTTCAACTTCTCCATTAATTCAACTATCTTAAATTGGTTTTATTTCAGAAATACTTTCCACAACTAATTTCTATTTGAAACAATACTAAATAGAACATTAACCTAGTATACATGGTGCTTAACAATATGATATATAAAAACATATATAAGGTCAACTTGCATCAAGGGGCAACTATAAAAATATATACAAGAAGGAGAGGGAAGATGGCGGCTGAGCCAGTCAGACTATGTGAGTGAGTGACTGAGTGTATGGAAAATTTTGTGCGCTTGTGAGTGACTGACTAAGTGAGGGCTCGGGAGCAAACAGTTCAGGGTTCTGCTGGTGAAGCAGCTTATGCTGTAGCTGCTCAGCTTGGACCCTAGTGATTCCCAGGAGGCAGAAGCCAAGTGCCATTTTTTTTCTTTTTTAAAAATCAACAAAACCCTTCCTGGGAAGAAGATGCTGGGAGAGACTGACTAAGTGGGGGCTCATGAGCAAGTGGTCAGGGCTATCCTGGTATAACAGCTGGTGCTGCGGCTACTCTATTGGTCCCTAGTGCTTCCTGGGACACAAGTGCCAAGTGCCATCTTCTTTTAAACTGACAAGTCTTCCTGGAAAGCAGCAGTGGGGGAGACTGTTGCCTACAGGCTCTGCCTCACCACTGCAGTGCCTGGCCAAACACTGATAGCAAGGGCTGAGAAGGGAGTCTAGAGGGAGAGCTCCACAGCATAAGACTAAAGAGGCACCCTGCCACCATCTTAAAAACAGTCCAAGAAAGTGTTCTGACTTGCTTGCCATGGAGCAACGGAACCAATCTCTGTGAATGGCAGATCAACTAGTCAGGGGTTGATTGTAACCCAAAGGGAATATCCTGAAAGCACAAACTCCTGAGGGAACTGACGAGTGCAGAGCCTCAGGCACCAAACCCCGTACCCTGATCCAACTGTGGGACAAAGGGTGTGGCCAGAAAAGGATGAGAAAGAACTCCAAAGAGATCAGAGGGGATACACACATATACCTTGCATTGTCATACAGACTGGTGGTGGGGAGTGGGTCTCAGGGAACCCATTCCACAATCAGTGAACATTGTGATTTGAATCCTAACTCCCTATCCTATAACTTATTCAACTCTCAAAACTACAAGAGACAGCAAAGTCTGCCACCCATAGTCCTGTTTCAAATTAGAACAAATCCAGAGCCTGGATCAGGGAAGAATAGATCACAGAGCAAACATCAGAAGTGAAAACATCTCCCACTGCCACTGAATAACAGAACTAAAGAGATCTGTCACAAATGAAGAAAACGCAACAGAAGACCACAGGTAATTTCAAGTGTAACAAAAGAAAACTCCTGAAAATCACCTTCAGAGGCGAAACATGAAAGTCACCAATGACTAGCCCCAGAATACAACAGGGGTTAGGGAATGGATGGAAAGAGTAAATAAGACTCAAGAAAGACAAGATGCAACATTGAAAGAAGTTGTAACAGAGATTTTTAACAATAAAAAAAATTCATCCAGGAAATAAATAACAAGATGACAAGCATGGAAAGCAGAATTAATCAAGCTGAGAAAGAATCTGAGAACTTGGAGACTGGAACATGAAATTAACCCAATCAGTAAAAAACATAGAAAACTCAGAAAGAAAGAACAAAGACTACAAGATGTGTGATTATATCAAGAAGTTGAACCTACACCAAAACAAGTTGGGAAACGAAGAACACCTTAGACCAAGTATTCAAGGAGATTATCCAAAAAACTTTCCCCATCTCACCAGAGATGTGACCAGCCAAACACAAGAGATACAGAGAACCCCCCACAAGACATCAAATGGGAAGATCAGTCCCTAGACACACAGTAATTCATCTACACAAGATAGGCACGAAAGAAAAAAATCCTAAAAGCAGCAAGAGAGAAAGGACAGACTGCCTACCAGGAAAACCAATCAGAATAGCAATGGATCTATCAGCAGAAACAATACAAGGAAGAAGGGACTGGATTTGAAAATTCAAAGTCCTCAAAGATAAGCAATTTCAACCAAGAATTTCTTACCCAAACAAGCTCAGCTTCATCAGTGATGGAGAATTAAAATCCTTCCCAGACATACAACCCCTAGGAGATTATAAAACTTCCAGACCAGCTCTACAGAAGACACTTAAAAAAATATTAAGCACAGAAGAAAAAAAACACAATGACCACACATTTCCAAGAGAACAGCAGAGCACAGAATCAACATAGAATACATCACAACAGCAACCTTGAAAAAAACACACGTCAATACCAAAGCTAAAAGAAAACAATGAAAAAATGATATAAGAATCTTATGACAGGGATAAATAATCACATTCAATAATCAGCTTGAAAGTGAATGGAATAAATGCACCACTGAAAAGACACAGCATGGCAAACTGGATAAGAAACCATGACCCAATTATTTGCTGTATCCAGAAAACTCATCTCACTACAAGGGATGCATACAGACTCAAAGTTAAAGGATGGAAAATCAGTTTACAGAAAAATGGATCACAAAAGAAGGCAGGAATGTGATCTTAATATCAGACAAAACAACCTTTAAGCTATCAAAAATTTAAAAAGATACAAAAGGAATTACAAATAATGATAAAAGGTTCAATCCATCAATAGGAAACATCCACCCTAAACATATATAAACCCAACACAGGAGCACCAGCATTTATAAAGCAACTACTAAGCAAACTAAAACAAGATATCAACTCTAACACTATTATAGCTGGGGACATGAATACCGCACTAACAGACCTAGAGGCCAAAAATCAACAATGAGATCCAGAACCTTAACTTTACACTCAACCAAAAGGACTTAAGAGATACCTACAGAATATTCCATCCAGCAAACACAGAATATACATTCTACTCACCACCCATGGAACGTACGCCAAGATCAATCACATCTTTGGCCATAAATCAAGCACAAATTCCATATGGTTGAAATATTGTCATGTACCATCTCAGACCACAGTGGAATAAAAATAAGTAACACCAACAAAACTTCCCCAAAGCCCACAAAGATATGGACACTAAACAACAAGATACTGAATGACTTTCTGGGTTAACACTGAAATCAAAACTTAAATTAAAAGATTCCTGGAAACAAATGAAAATGAAGAAACATTTTACCAAAACCTCCCGGATGCCACAAAAACAGTTTAGCTCTAAAAGAGTAATTATATCTCTATGAACACACATCAAGAAAATGAAAAGATCACAAGTTAACAGTCTAACAAATAACCTAAAGGAGCCGGAAAGACAAGATTACAAAAACCCTAATTTTAGCAGAAGAATCTGGATCACCAAAGTAAGACCCCAAATATAGGACACAGAATACAAAAATATCATAGAATACATCAACAAAACAAAAAGCTGGTTCTTTGAAAGAACAAGATCAATGGACCCCTACCCAGAAAACCAAGAAAAAGAGAGGAAAAGCACAACTAAACACAATCAGCAATACAAAAGATCAAATCACAAATGACCCCGAAGAAATACAGAAGATTATCAGAGATCACTATGCACACCTGTTTGGAAACAAACTTGATTACCTAAATGAAATGGAGGACCATCTGACATAACAAAATCTCCCAATGTTGAAACAAGACACTGAGACACTAAATAGAAGAATAACAACACAAGAAATTAACTCTGCCGTAAGAAAACTACCTACAAAAAAAAAAAAAAAAAACAACCCTGGACCAGACTGCTTTCCAGTAGAATTCTAAAAAATATACAAGGAGGAGCTGACACCAATCCTATTGAAAGTATTCCAGGCAATTGAGGTAGACAGAATTCTCCTCAAATCATTTCACAAAGCTAATATCACACTGACACCCAAACCGAGAAAGAGCCAACAAAAAAGAAAACTACAGGCCAATATCCCTTATGAACACACATGCAAAAATACTCAACAAGATTCTAGCAAATCAGATCCAAAAACACATCTCAAAAACCATCCACCATGACCAAGTAGGCTTCATCCCGAGGATACAGGGCTAGTTCAACATCCGCAAGACCATAAATGTAATTAAATAATTCAACAGATGTAAAAACAAGAATGACATGATTATCTCATTAGATACAGAAAATGTTTTTTTTAATAAAATCCAGCATCCCTTCTTGATAAAAACCCTCAAACACTTAGGTATGGAAGGAACATATCTCAAAATAGTAAGTGCCATCTATGATAAACCCACAGCTAACATATTGCTAAATGGACAGAAACTGGAAACATTTCCCCTGAAAACTGGAACAAGACAAGGTTACCCACTCTCACCCCTCTTGTTCAACATTGTGTTGGAAGTCCTAGCTAGGGCAATTAGCCAAGAGAAGGAAATCAGGGGTATCCGAATAGGAAAAGAGGAAGTCAAGTATCCCTC